GGGGGGGAGGGGAGGGGTGCGCAGCTTGTGCTGAACAGGGTCTCCCGACCCTCCCGCCCGCAAGCCCAGCACGTGATCTCAGCCCCATCTCAGCACTTCTCAGCCCAGAGCCTCCAGGGACTCACACCCCCTCCAGCCCGCCCTCCGCTTTCCTGAAGAGCAGCCCTGCCCGCCTTCTGCGGGGTGCCAGTGCCCAGGCCCCACTTTACGCGGAAACTGCTTTGGGACTGGGGCTGCCTGAAGCTGTGCAGTGCAGCCGGTCTGCGGAGTGCCGGGCCTCGGGGCGGGGCTGGCCCCTGGGGCCTGGGCGCTTAGCGCCACGTGGAAACAGTTTTCTCCTGAGTCTTCCAATGAGAGCCATTTAAATTCCTGTAGCCATTGGGGCGGAGGCTGAGAACCAGGGATGAGCGGGTGGGTGGAGCTGAGGCTCCAGGGAGGGTGCCGGGGAGGGCGTGGGGCGCCCAGACCTGGCCTCTGAATCACAGGCCCCAAGCGAAGGGCCTTCAGTGTGGGGCTCTCAGGGAGGCACCCCCCGGGAGGCCACAGGAGCCCGTCTTCCCCGCAAGACTGCTGGGGAAACCGTGACTCGAGCAAGGCCCCGAGGGATGGACGGGCGAGCGGGAAGGAGGGCCGTCCAGGGACAGGGAGGAGACGGCGGCGGTGGGAGAGTGTGGCACGTTTGGGCAAAACAGAAGAGCTTTGCTCCATCTGGCTGGACTGCGGGGGCTGCAAGCGTTCCCTGGGGCGTCCCTGTCACCCCAGAAACACAGGGCAGCCAGGCCCAGCCCCTCCACCCTGGGGTCCCTCTCTGTGCAGTTGGGGTGACCCAGCAGCAAAGCAGTGACACGTGCTTCCTGATTCCCCCCAACCCCGTGGTCACAAGGATGGGCTGTCATTGCCCCGAGAAGGGGGAGGCCCCTGACTGAGTCCCCGCCCTTCAGGCTGGCCTTCCTGTGCTGAACAGGGCACATCCCCTGTCTGGTCCCCCAGCTCCCAAGGGGGCAGAGAGGCTGCCAGGAGGGGCTGCTGTTTCTGGGCTGGTGGAGAGGGAGCAGAGCCCAGCTCTGCCCTCCTGCCCTGCATGGACCCAGGCCACCCCAGCGGGTTCCCAGGGTTCCCGGGGGGAGGGGGGGGCTCTGCAGTTGGGGAGGTTTGGGGTGCTCCCAGCAGCAAGGCCCGCGAGCTAGGCGGTCCTGGCCCTGGAGCCACAGATCCGGTTCAAACCCCAGCTTTGCACTTACTAAGTGAACGGCCCTCAGACAGCGCCTAAACCTCTGAACCTGTTTCCCCATCGACAGGGGATGTGGCCTGGGGACCGTGGGTGGTTGGCCAGAGAGGACACATGTAAAGCGGCCAGCACAGGCGTGCACGGCGGCAGAGTGAGGAACACGTGAGGGCGTGTTGTGTGTGGGGAAAGGGGTGCGCCTGCCCTCTCCCAAGCATGTCTCCAGTTCGCACTGTCTCCACCCAGGTCGGCCTGGCGGGCAGGCTGGACTTCCCGGGGAAGCGAGCCCAGAGAGGCCAGTGCCACGGCGACTCCACAGGGACACAGACACCTGGGCCTGTGGGAGAGTCTGGCCAGGAGGAGCGCCACCAGCCCCTCCCTGGCCCCAGGGCGGGCCCTGCCCCACCCTCTCAAGAAACCAGCCTGCAGTATCAAGGGTGGAGCCCCAGCTGGGAGCCAGTTCTGGCGCTTCCGTGGGCAGTGGCGCCGACCCAGGCCAGCGCCAGGCGGGGCCGGCCAGCAGCAGCAGGGTGGTGCTGCCCCCAGCCGCTGGGGTCTCTAAAGGAGATGGCCCGACCTGGAACCCAGAGAGAAAAGAGGCTTCTGGGGGCCCCGTAGACCCTGCACGAGGAGGGCCAGCCAGGGCCCAGCACTGCTGACCTGGCTTCCACACACCTTGAGCCCTGGAGGGGGCCGGTGACAGGTTACAGCCAAAATAGCAGAGACAGCGGCCAACATTCATCACACACTTGACGGGCAGTGAGCACTGGTTACCACACAGGTGCGGCTCTACTTTTCAGATAAGGGAACTCAAGCACAGAGAAGGCAAGTAACTTGCCCAAAGCCACAGAGCTGGGAAGTGCAAGCCTGGACTTTGACGTGGTCTCCAGCTGGAAGCGCTGGGTTTCAAGGCAAGCAGGCCCCAGGAGAACCCGTTGTTGTCTCTTAGCTTTTCCACCTTGAAAGTGGGCATAATATGAACCAGCTGTGCCCGGGACGCGCACCAGGGTGGAGAGAGAACCTGAGGGACGGGACGGGTCTCCGTCTCTGACCCAGAGCCTCGGAGCCCGGAGGTCATTTTCCCTGAGCACGTGGGTACACAGGGGACCGACAGATCCCCGAGGCAAGGGGTGTGACCAAAGCAGGGCAAGGTGGGGCCCGGAAGGATTGAGGCGCCTGGGGTACAGGGGACGCTGGGCACAGCAGGAGTCAGGGTGTCTGGTGGGCAGCTGGTCAGGACACCCAGGCCGGCTCCTGGCCATCCCCCACCTTTAGTGTCTGGTTCTGACCCCGCTGCGCAGACAGCACAAGGATGGTGGAATAAAGGAAGAGCTGAGGGGGAGGCGGGTGTGCCCCCCACCCCCGGGCACCTCCACATCCTGAGTCCATCGAAGGGTTTCGGTGCACACGTCGTGGTCCCCCCGCTTCCCAGGAGAGAATGGGGAGAGCGCACACCCTTGCCTTGGACTTGGAAGGGCTCCCTGCCCTAGGCTCTGGGCCCTGGCCCTCACTCACTCCTTGGTGAGCCCACCTGCCCAGACCCTTCGCTTATGGATGGCGCTTACGGAAGGGCACACAGGGGCCTGCTGGCCTCCAGCCAGAGGCGGCACTCGGGTCAAGGGTAGGGCTCGTTTCACGGTGCCAGGGTGGGGACTGGACCACCTGCCACAGTCAGAGCACGGCCAGCTCTGCATGGGGATGGCGCTGGGGCAACCGAGGGCCTCTCCTGGACACCAGGGGACCTCAGGAGAAGAGAGAAGCGGGACCTGGCCTCGGCAGCGAGGCTGCCCTCCGCGTCCGCCTCTGCACGGGGGTTTCAAAGGCAAGACCACGTGTCCACTGGAGCAGAGACGGGCATGAGGACCCTGTCGGGAGGGGAGGTGCAGCGCTCGGCACCGAGACATCACCATCATTCCGTCCTGCTGCCCCAGGAGGATGCTGGGACACAGGAAGCAGAGCCCATGGGGACTTGGTGGCGGTTGGAAAATTCTGGTGTTCACTTCTGGGCTCAGTGCCCCTCTCCCTGGTGGCAGGAGAGGGGACCATTACAGAGGAGGGGCTGGGACACTGGTGCAGCTGTCGACTGGGGAGCGTGAGGGGGGGCCGTGCCCAGGAGCTCCGGTGAGTCTCCCGGGGGCAGTGGTGAGAGACCCCGTGGGCCTGAGGTCCTGCCACCTGCTTCCCTGCCCTTTCAGGCCGGTGCCAGGGGCCCTCCCGGTCCCACCACAAGCCCTCGGGCTCCGTGAACGCATCAGGCTGGCCCCTGCTACCAGGGCCTATGTCTGTGCTGCCCCTTTTCCCTCCCTGCTCGCGCTGCCCCCCGACTTTCTCCTCCTCACTCTCTGGGGCCTGGTGAGGACACCATTTCCTCCAGGAAGGCCTTCTACCTGCTAGGGCGAGGCCGGGGGCCCTGGTCTGTGCTGCCTCAGCCCCCGTGCACCCCTGCTATCGCGCGGAGCTGGAGCCTTCTGCTGCTGTGTCTCTCCCCGACCGGGCTGCGCGCTCCTGAGGGTCGGGCGGCCCTGTCTAATCACAGCGCCCCTGCCCGGCACAGCAGCCAGCATACATTTGGGGCTCAGGAGACATTTACTGAATGCATCAGTGAATGAACAAGGAATGAGGCCAAGACCCCAGGCCCCACCCCTCCCAGGTGCCCTGGGACCATAGCCTCTTCATCTCAGTGTCTACCACGGGGCGCGGCACACGGCACGTGACACAGAGGCCCACACATCTCTCGAGCATGGAAAGGCGATGCCCAGAGAACGGGAAACTTGCCCTCCGTGCGTAAGAGGTGGCGAGACCGTGACAGTTACGGGCCAGGGTGTGCAGAGCAGGGAGAAACGAGCTCACTCCGCCTGGAAGAGGGTGGGAGGCAGTGCCCCTTCCGGTGGAGGGAGAACTGAGTGGAGGACCCCGGACGGAGGGACAGCTGCGTGCAGGGGACCCCAGAGAGCAGGGCGGCCCGCCCCCTCCCGCACGGCTTCCGCGTCCTCTGCCGACTGGACCAGGGCCCCGTCCTCTTCAGCTCAGGGACCCTGCGACCCCGGCTCGCAGTTCAAGCCCAAGAGGACCTCCAGATGGTGGGGGGAACCGGGGCACGCAGACGGGCCCAGGCCTCTGAGGCGTGAGAAGCCGCCTGATGAAACTGGCCTCCTTCCTCCACCCGCTTCTCGCACCCTGGCCCAGAGAGGAAGGCAGCAGGTGTGCACAGAGGCCTCATCGTTCCTGGGAGTGACTCACTCATGAAGCCTGGGGGCCGTGAGGTGCCGCCAGGGGCTCCCACCACAGCCTCTCTGCCCTGCAGCCCAGGCTGGGGAAAGCGTGGGCATCCCCGGGCCGCGCCCTCTCCCCACCAGGAGCGACCGAAAGCCCTGGTCCAGGGGCCCGTGTCCCTGAGGGTTGCTGTCCGCCCCGAGTCCCTGCGAGGCCAGGGTGCACCTCAGTTTCCCTCCCTCTAAAGAGAAGTGACAGGATGCCGTGGGTGCGTGGTGGCCTTTATTACCGGCTAGGGTGGGCGTGGGGGCGCGGTCGGGCACGAGTGCGGCTTCCGGCTGGGCCAGCTCCTGGTCTGCGGCGGGAGTGGGCCTCCGGTGCTGGAGGACCCAGGGAGCCAGGGGTGTGCAGGGCGGGGCACCGCGAGGAGCAGATCCCGGAGAAGGCGGCTGCGGCTCTACTTCCAGCGCCCGGTGACCTTGGCCTTCCCACGGGTCTTAGAGCTGCAGGACAAGCAGGGCCCACTCAGACAGGACGCGGGGCAGCCCTCCACGGTGGGTAGGTGGGGGCGTGGGGGGCTGCTGAGGGCTGAGAGGGGCAGGGGGCCACCTGGAGCTGCCTCCAAAGGCTCAACAGGGCAGCAGCCTCAGGCGGGGGGTGGGGTTGGGGGGGAGCTCTTGGACCCTACAGGAGAGGAGGAAGGGGAGGGAGGCCTGGGAGACAGGAAGGAGGGGGAAGGGGGCAAGTGGGGGATGGAGCTGGGTTGCTCACACTTTCTGGTTGTCGTTGATCCTGTTGCGGAGAACGTTGATCTGTGAGCAAAGGAGGCAAGAGAGAGTGACCCCGCCGGCACCGGCACCCACTCGGCTCAGAGCCCGGCTGGCCTGGGGATGCGGTGGGCAGGACCAGTGGGCTGAGCTGCTCTCTTGCCTGGCGTCTGTGCTGCCGGGACCCCACACTAGGGCCCCGGGCCATCACGGTGAGAAGTAAGCGGCTACGTCTCTGGTGAGGTCCCCACCACCACCTCCGCCGGGAGGCCTGGCCCGGTGCATCCTGGTGCCCCCGTCGTGGGTGCTCAGTGAGCCGAGCTGCTGCCTCGAGGCCAGAAGTGGGGAGACCCCAGGGCTGGAACCCCAGGAAGTGTCTGCTCGGCCCCAGCGAACCCTCAGGCTCCAGAAGCACCAGCCAGCCCAGCGGCCACACGAGGCACACGGTCGCACGACGGCTCACCTCGTATTTCTGCTGCTTGAACTTCTCCTGCAGGTCGAACTTCTCCGCTTCCAGGTCGTAGATGCTCTGCCGCAGCTCCGTGGCCCTCTCCCTGCACAGGCCGTGGGCGGGGGCCGTGAGGAGGGGCCTCACCTGCCTCCCTGCTGCTCCGGACCCGCTCCCCTTCCCGGCCCTCCCCC